AAATATATTTGTTTTGGTTTTAGTCATTATTTGATAATGCAATTTAAATAGCTAACATTATTTAAAAAATCTGATTAATAACTTCCCAAAATTTCCTGCATGATCCAAAATTACATTTTAGCAAACCAGCATGTAACTGAAGGAATATTTGATGATTGGACACTGAGCAGTGAAAGAAATCTGTTTGTGTTCAAAGTACGAGCCAGAATCAGACACAGGAGACCGGCCCAAAGCCAGACTCCAGCATTCAACTGCACATGCAAGGACCACCACAACTCTTCCAGCACAGGTCCAAAATACTCTGGACATCGAGTCACTGGAGATTGGCCATGTTCTTTCGCAATACAGATACTTTTAACGATATTTTTTTCAGAACTGAGTAGGAAATGACACCATTAAAGGAGTGGTTGTGACCTCTCCAATCCAGGTGACCCAGTTCACAAATAAGGAAGTCCTCCAAACTCAGATATAGAAACATTACGTGTCTGATTGTGTTGTTTCAGTGTGAGGCACAGAAACACATCATATTTCTATAACAATATAATAAACTGATTATAAAGGTATTCTAAACATCTCAAGCATAAACATGTGTATGTAAAATGCATTTAAGACTCAATATAAATCAATAAATCTCAGACCAGTCTTAGTTTAAAAAGGATCAATCCCTGGCATTAAGAGTTCAGACAGACGCCTAAATTCATCCTCATGACGATCATCACACTTTAACACATACTCCCATCCTAGTGGTTTAAGTTTCAGATTTGCATTAAGATTTATGGAATGTCAAATAATTTTTTTATTTAAAAACCTTTTTTCTGTTTGTCCATTGTTTCTCTTTGTGTTGTTCCTGTTGTCTCCTCGTCCTCTCCTCCTCTTCCTCCTCCTCCTCCATTGGATGGCATGTTGTGATGTGGTACATCTAGTGATCTGCAGCCCTCTCTGGACAGGGTTAGGAGTGCTAGCACCAACTGTTTGACTCCAGACAATCATGCCCCCTCACCAGAGACTGAAAGGTACCAGCCTCTGCTGCCACCCTTCCTCCTGTAGTCCTCTTATAGGTTTCAGTCCACAGTTGCTCCTTGTCTTTGTAGGGATTTCTTTCCTGAATGATTTCCACCCAAACTGCGTATATTTTTGAGTGAATTTCCCCCCTCATCACCTACAATTTATAGTTTTATACAACAATCCGAGACTTTATTTTTTGGGTGTTTTTGCCTGCCTAAAATGTAGCCCCACCCCCACTGGCTCCGCCCATAAATGTCAGGAATCACATTGTCAAGCAGTGTCTCAGCACATTCTGGGTCAATGGTTGCCTCGAGATGCTACAAAATTTTAGACATCATGTCATTTCTGGTGTAAGGATCAGAAGGATTTAATATTTTAAGTCACAATAAAACTATAGACCAAACAATAAAAATGTGAATTTCAAAATAGCTTTCATAAATGTTCTTCAAAATAAGAGACTGGTTCTGTTATAGCTTTGATTATTGCAAAAGTAAGTTAGAAATTACCACTGGGTTTTGGCCCAATAAATCAAGCACAGACATAAATAAATCCATGTTTTCATTACTTTGAATATCTGCACCTTCATATAAAATTCAACATCAGCTTCTGTTTTTAAGATATTTTCTTTATTAAAGAGAGAACTCAAACTTTACTAGAAGAACAGGCGTTCAAAAATTTTACTGTCAATCCACAATTGCAGTCATTTATAATTAGTGCCATTGGCTGATTAAATGATTATAGGTAATCTACTTATGTATGGAAAAAATGTGACTATTTACTTAATGTGTAACAGATCTGGATACGACTGAGCTTATCTTTAAACATATCATACTTTAAGTTTCCAATTAGCTCCAGCTGTATATGTCAGTGTTTGTGGCTTCCTCAGTGAAAAGGTAATGAATTAAGTGCAGATGAATGGATGGATGGGTTGATGGACAGATGGGGTGATTGGTTGGTTTAGCAGGAACACTCAAAGGCCACAAGGGTCAGCTGTGTTTCCATACAGCAGCAAACTGCCAGAGGGATCAGATGGGGGATGGGCTGTGTGTCTCTGTGTGTGTGCGTGTTGATGGAGAGAGAAGGAGTAAACAAGGCTCGGAAAACACAAACACGTGACCTGAATATTGCTGGTTTGAAGGTCAGGCATCATTTGGAGGGAAAATGCTACAAAGCAGATTGTCTCCAGGAATTAAATCCAGTTAAATCGGTTAGTAGAGCCAAGGCGATTCAGTTAGGACTACATGAAGTCCAAATTAATGTGTTAAAATTAGTTTGACATCACAACACTGAAATATAACACCAGTCTGAGTACGCAGAGCGGTCTACAGAGGTGTCATTTAATGAAATATTAGGTTTGTTGCCTGATTCTACAGTTAGTTAAATTAATTTTTTAATTAATCCACACTCAATATCCCACTGTAATAAAGTAATAAATAAAATTATATACAGCTCTGTAATTGTAGTAACATGAAAACTGAAATTCTGCAATTCCACAACAATTCAGTTCTAATTCACAACAAAATTCATCTCTGGATATTCTACAAAAGAATCAGAACAAGTCAAAATCAAATCTGGTACAAAATAATGCTCTGATATTCCTGCAGGAAGTGCTCCAAGATGCACAGGAAATGCTACAGTTAGCTGCTGCCGCTGCTGATTATGCTTGCAACAGAAGAATCCTGAGTAAAAAAAAAACATGTGAGACTGGCAGTGATTTTTTTACAAAATGATGCTCATATGCACTGTTTTTAGATCCTTTCACTTGATCTGCTTCATAAAAATATATATTTTTTTCATGTTGTAAATGATTATTTATCTATTATTTGTACATGTACAGTGCCCTGAGACAATGTACTGTATGTTGTGACTTTGCTCTATTTAAATACACTGAACTGACCTGAATTGAATTATTTAAAGCACAATAATAATAATGAGTAATTCTTTTGCCAAGATCTGATTGGTCCAGAGGGAGAGACAAGGAAAAATAATTTATTTACACCAACAAACATCTTTCTCCTTTTAGTTTGAAGTTGTTAAACACAGGCAGCTACACAAACACAAACACTTACTGTATGTCCACCCCAGACGAAGCACACCAGCAGCTGTGTGTCTGAAGCTGATGTGAGGCGACAGCCGGGTCTCCGGGTCACTCTCCAGGACGTCTCAGGGCCCCGGTCGGTCCTGGCTGCCTACCAAACTGTCTCATTGTGGGGCCGGGGGGTGGGAGTGGTAACCACTGCGTCTCCCTCTGTCACAACACTAAAACAAACACAGGCAGACACACACAAGCACAATCAGCCTGTTCAAAAGTGATGCAGAAAAGCTTTTTTCATGCATCTGCCACAATTCTTCAACAACTCCATGAAAATCCTCCAGTTTCTCCAAACCTGAGAGTCCATTTCTCCTGGTTTTACCTCTCTGTGTGCACTTCCTGTACATTTTACAACAACCCTCTACCTTCAGCTCACAAACAATGAGCCTTTGGTGCTTTATCACCCCTGAAGCTCACTCTGTTCTCAGTCTGCTTGTTGCTTCTCCATAACCGTTAAGAGATGCAGAGGTTTTGTTCTTGGTGAAAACACACACAAGCACATGGAGACCTCCACACAGAGAGACCCCAGGTCTGGACAGGGATTCAAACCCAGAACCTTTGCAGTGAGGCTTTAACTCAATGTCTGTAAAACTGACTTCAAAAGTTTAAAATTTTGCTAACAAGCAAAGGTGCAAACACAAAGACAGCCACTTTTAGCAGTTAGCAATAATAATGTTAAATAACCCCACTGTCTTCAGAAACTGATTGTTTTTTTTTTGTCCGTATTATTATTGTCAACGATTATTTTTGCACTTTTACTTGGTAAAACACAAAATAACAACATGAAGCACTTTTTTCAACCAGTTTGAGGTTCAGTTTATTATTTTAGCAGCAACATTACTTACTTCTTTTAACTCTTCACAATAATAGTCTCAGACACCCTGAGTGTTGATATTAAAATGTTCTCAAGTCATTTGAAACTAAGACAAAAGATTTACATTTTTATTTTGTTCTCCAGTAAGACCCTGCAGTCTAAACCATCCATCCATTATCTTTTATCCACTTCTTCCTTTCAGGGCCATGGGGCCCATATCCAGCAGTCACAGTGTGAAGGGCGGGGTACTGGACAGGGTCCATCACAGGGCCCAGTCTAAACCCAGGGTTGTTAAATATTTTGGGTCTGGGGACCCTTTAAGTTGAAAAATTTCCAGGGACCTCCTTATAAACCTTATGTCATTTGAAGCTAAGATTGAAAGAGATTATAATATATTTTACTTCCATTTAACCCCTTATGCCATGAT